GGGGAGGAGGAGGGGGGAGTACGATGAGAGGTGGAGCAAAACTTTTGGAACTTTGAGGAGTGAGGATCGAGGAGGTGGAGAATGGAGAGTGGAGGGAGGAGGGAGGGAGGAGGGAGGGAGGAGGGAAGAACGGTACAAGGGTTAGGAGGAGGAGGAGGAGGAGGACGATATTAGCGGAGCGAGGAGGATGCCGAGGAGGAAGATGACTGTGAGAAAGACGATCTCATATAGAGGATGATGCGGAGGAGGCGGCGATATGGAGGAGGAGAGGGAGAGGGGAGAAGGCGATAGAGAAGAAGAAGGGAGGAGGCGGCGATGGAGGGAGAGGGGAGAAGGCGATAGAGAAGAAGAAGGGAGGAGGCGGCGATGGTGGGAGAGGGGAGAAGGCGATAGAGAAGAAGGGAGGAGGCGGCGATGGAGAGGAGAGAGTAGGGGGAGGCGATGAAGAAGGAGAGGGGATGGAGGGGCGATGGAGGAGGAGAGGGGAGGAGGTGGCGATGGAGGAGGAGAGGGGAGGTGGAGGCGAGGGAGGAGGAGAGGGGAGAAGAAATAGAGGCGGTGGAGGAGAAGAGAGGAAAAGGAGGCGATGGAGGAGGAGTGGGTATGGACGAGAGAGGAGGAGAGGGGAGGTGGAGGCGATGGAGAAGGAGAGGGGATGGAGGAGAGGGAAGGAGGTGGCGATGGAGGAGGAGAGGGGAGGTGGGGTCGATGGAGGAGAAGAGGGGAGGAGGATATGGAGGAGGAGTGGGACCGAGGAGGCGATGGAGGAGGAGGAGAGGGGATGTGGAGGCGATGGAGAAAGAGAGGGGATGTGTGGGCGATGGAGGAGGAGAGGGGGCAGAAGAGGGGGGAGGCGGTGGCGATGGAGCAGGAGAGGGAAGGTGGAGGTGATGGTGGAGAAGAGGGGAGAAGGAGGCGATGGAGGAGGAGTGGGGGCGAGGAGGAGGGTGTGGTGGAAAAAGATTAGAGTGAGGATCAGGCGGAAAAGGAGGTGAGGAGGAGGAGGAGGAGGAGGAGGAGGAGGAGGAGGAGGAGGCGGCAATGGAGAAGATGGACCGGGGTATGAGGCTAGAATGAGGAGGAGGGTAGATTGGAAGACACGGAAGATGAGGAAGATGAGGAAGACATGGAAGATGAGGAAGATGAGGAAGGAGGCTGTGGAGAGGGCGGGATGTAGACGGAAAACGAGAATTGGAGCTCAGGGGGAGCAATGGGAGAAGGAGGAGGAGATATGGTGAGCGAGAAAGAGAATGTGGTCAATAAGGATGAGGCGTGGGGGAGGGGGAAAGGACAATGAGGAGGTGAAGAAGAAGTAAGAGAAGAGAAAGAGGAAGAGGAAGGAG